TTCGTGAATACGTGAGGGTGGTGTGTTAGCAGAGCAGAGGGCCTCCGCTGTGTTTATAGATGTGTGGGGATGTGAAGCAGGCCTCGCCGACTGTGAACCAACATCACCGTCACCCCGGTGGACTCTGGAAATATGGGGGGAAAGAAATAACACAAGGCCTTATGAGTAGTTGCATGGAAGGTTGCAAGGCAGATTGGGAGGCTGCGCATGTAGTACTACAGTAGTACGTGTACTGTATGTAATCAGAACTTCAGCCTATTTTTATGCATCTTATGTGAGGTATCCCAAAACATGTATACAATAAACAAGTACATGAATGAGCTGGTTATTATAATATGTCAAATTATTGACCAAACATGTACTAGAAACAGCTCGAACCAAAAAATAAATAAAGATTTAAATTAAAAAGCTAAAATGTTGCGATAAATCAAGTGTTAGAGCACAAGACAACTAAATTTGTGCACATTGACTGAAGGCCTACTGACGACTTCTGACAGGAAACAATGATTTAATTCTAATGAATGGTAGTTGTTCATCCCTGCAAAAACAGGAGAGGAAAATGTTCACAGACGTGATGTCATGCAGAACCAGAGATGAGGCAAATGTACCATAGACCCTGGTGTCTGTTGATATGTGCATTTAGAAAGACATTATGTAATTACCCTGCATGATTCATACAGTGGGTTATTCTGAGAAACATGGATGGTAACAGACAGAGACAGGGGTAGACTGAGTACACTTAAGTGCAGTATCCAGGGATTGATGGTTCACAACTCACATTAACAAGGACTTCTTTAAAAAAAAAAAAGTACAGTACTTAACATGAAGAGATACCAACAGGGTTTTTTTTTTTTTGCAGGATTTGCACCAATCTGTGAATGCAGTACACTAGGATTAGATAAATATCTATTTCATTTCATTATTTGTGTTTAGGTCCCCTTGTTTGGTATGTGTAGTCATTCACATAAAAAATATTACCATTTTTTAAAAAATCTATTTTTTTCCTAAAATCATATGTGCTGGATGACATCATCGCTCAGGTGTACTTTATGTGGGGCTCAGCACATTTCCTGGGCTGCAGCTCTGCTCTATGTTTCCTTTGCACCAGCAGCAAAATGCAAATGATTACGTGTCTGTAAAAGTTTCAGCTATTTTCAAGTTTTTGCAATGTATATGTATGATAACTGTGGGTGAGACAGGATTCAGAAGTTCCTCTAAAATGTGTTATCAAATGTATTTATATTTACTCACTTCTCATCTGTCTAATACATATACACAGATTATATTAAGGTCGCAGACGTGTTTTTAAGAGTTCATACTGTCGGTCCACATAAATCATTTTTGTTACACATTATTAGGTTGGGTTTCTATCAGTTCTCCCTCCAAGTTAGCAGCTACTGTGAGTAAGAGACGATTTATTTTCCTTCAAATCTGGGCTGCACCGTTCACAGTTCAATTTCCCACAGGCCTCAGTGTGACACAGTGACTCCGAGTGTTTCTGTTAATGGAGCTTCTTCAAGCCCCAGGCTTTCAAGTGAGGAGGCCAGACTGAGGATATCCTCTCACATTCTACACACTGACACACACACACACACACACACACACAGGGAAGCCTTTATTCACCCAACTATAGTGGCTGCCACCACCTACAAGGACACAATGGAACCAGAAGCTGATAAAGACAACTTGCATGTTGCTGGTTGTCTAAATGCATGTATAAATGCTATATTTTGATCTAAATACACAATTTTTTCCCTGACTTTGTGTTCTCTACTTTAGCTTGTTGCTGTCTCACATTGAGCAGCTCTCTCTGTAAACACAAATGTGTACTATTTTTACTTGATCGATGCTCACTTTTTATTTTTAACTTAACTTACTCTCTCTTAAAGATGTACAGTACAGTACAACCTAACAGGGGTATTTTTTAAAGTGCAGTAAATGTACTGTACTTTAAAGTAAAGTACTTATTAACTAGCCCACCAGCTATTTTCTAGGGCCTCTGCTCGTACTGTTGCAGGACTGAGTTCACAGAGGAATCATAATAAGCAGGCTATTTGGAGAGTTGGTGTAACCATAGAAACCTCCCTCCTGCCCCCCGTCCTGACCCACATTCACACCATCCAAGAGGCGAGATGAGAAACAAAATGTTCCAGGTTTGTGAACATTGAAGGTTGAGAACTAGAAATACACTTGCGATGGATTTGTAATGTTCGTGACTGACAGTGACTTCAAATCCATCGTGACTTCACAGTGTCAGAGGTCCACAGAGACGCAGGGAAGAAAAAAAGACACTGTATTCAGTAAAAAAAACAACTGTATTCTGGGAACAGATCTGTCATTGTATAAAAGAGTCCAGTAGAACATCAACAAGGTCATCCATGGGACACATTCTTCAAGAAAGAATTCACACAGCCATTTACTGGTGCGCTGTCTTTCTCTCTACTAAATACATTCCACGGTTATACTTAGATTTTAGTGTGTTAGCGTCAGAGATCCTTAAAAAAGAATTTGTGTTTGACATAATTAGACATTTTGTTTTGTCAATGGTTTAGTCAAGTGTGTCATCATGTGTTTTACAGAAGTCCAAATAAAAGTCCAGATCTTTGACAGCAGTGACTTGTCACCATTGGCCGACGCAGAGGTGCAAGTCCATGGCAACCAAACCATCCTTGCATCAAGCAGAGCTGGCAGTGATGGTGTGTTGAGAGTCAGTTTCCAGTACCGTGTAGGAACATGGGTCATCATCACTGCCTCTAAACAGGACTACGTCACCAACTCTGTACCCTGGCACTCCAGCCGCATCCCCCGTAAGTCACAGAGAAAGATAGCCATGTGTTTTAGGCCATATCTTTACAGTAGCTTTTAAATGCTAATGCTATCATATCTGTCATCTTTGTAGTGTACGCTTCTGTCAGCTTGTACCTCCTTGTCCAGAGACCAGGAACTCTCATCCTTTATGATGACGTCCTGCAGGTCCTGTCTGGGTCACCAGGTACCAAGAACATCATCCACGTCAGATTTGAACATGTTCCTTGACTACCCAACATTGAATAGCTTCATTATTTTGCCCCTGATCTAACCAGTAGAACAGCTGCAGCAGGCCACTGCACTCACCCAGATGGTTCCACACAGTTGTGAAGGGTTAGCCTTCGCAGCTGTTGTCAGTCCACTTGTAAACAATGCATAATTAACACTGGTCTCCTGTGTGCTGTGAGCACCGCCACGTCGCTGACAGCATATTAGTAGTCGACACAGAGGACGGCTCTGTGGATGTGGCTCTGAAATTGTTATTATGATTTTTTTCAGGTGCTCGTAATCAACCGCTGGTGCAGCTGCAGAGGAAGTCCCTCCAGCTGCCGTCCAACTCCAACTACACTTCACTGTCTGCTGTGATGACCCCAGCCAGGAGTCAGTATGAGATCGGTGGATTCCCATTTCTCCTGGGCCAGGAGACCAACAGCTCAGGTTGGAGACCATGATGTCATGCAGCCATACATGGTTTATTTCTTAAAGTCATTTAACAAAAATCTGTCCTAATAACAATTGATGTATTCCAGGTGCAGAGACTGGTTGGACTGAGTTGACAGCAGTGGCAGTGGTCAGCGTCCAGCTCTTTGACAAGGACGGAGCTGAAATCCAGGTCTCTGATCCGGTCCACATCTCTGTGCCACTGCCCTCTGACACCCGCCACAGGATGGTGACCAGCATACCTGCTTGGCTGTTTCAGCCTAAGACAGGTGCAGTGAAGCTGTCAACAGTAAGTCAAGCCAAATCCCTGAAATGTTAGTGTAGTATTTCAATCTCTGACACTTTGTTTTGCAGGGTTGTGGGTGAAACATGCAGTGGGCTACATCAAAAAGGATGGGCCACAGTATGTCTGGAATGTTGTGGTTCCTCAGATGGGATACTGGTTGGCCGCCTTTCCATCGTCGTCAGGTGAACTCTTTGGTTTAACCCTCTACCTGTATTACACCAACTGTCCAGCAGGTGTTTAAATGTGAACATAAATTAACCCTAGAATTAATTGTAATGATGAGACCTGCTCATTTGTCCTTGTGTGCTGCTGCTGTTTACTTGACATCATACTGGGATAATAGGATGTGTTCGGGTGTCAAGTAAAATGAATGTGATGTTTTGTTGATTCTAAAGTTTTTGTGTCATGGCTTTTATTGCAGGATTAGGTCTGTCTCACCCAGGCTTGAGGGACATCACCACATATCACACCCTGTTCCTGCTGTCCATCTTGGGTTCCCTGGCATTGTTGGTGCTCATCCTGCTCTGTGTTCTGCTCTACTACTGCAGGTGTGGGGAGCGTAGGCGCAGGTCTCTGGGTCTAGGTTTCTATAGATAAGAATAAATGAAATGGGTCTGTTTTAGGCTGCTGTCAAATGTGAGCCCGTCTATTTAGTGATTTAAAGATGATTTTCCTTCCTGTCCTCACATCTGTGTCTTTACCCCTTAGGCGCAGGTGTTTAAAACCTCGTCGACAGCAGGGCAAACTCCACACCTCCAACCTAAATGGAGCAAAGAGAGACCAAGGTACCTCCATGTCACGCCTAAATTTAATCTGTGGAGGCCACGCTGAGTCCGGTCCATCCAATGACAAGTCAGATATGTCCCCTTCTCGAGAATACCGTAATTCAAGGGAGGACCTGACCAAACATGTTCCAGCTAACATGCTGCGACACGCCAAGGGGAAAAATCCCTCGGGTCCCCAACGAGGAGAGAGTTTCCCCCTGAAGGTGACACGTGCCACAGAGACCAACAACTTGGACAACCCTCTGCTCCTTGAAGACTACAATCGGAGCTACAGTGCCATGGAAGGCAAAGAATCAGAGTACCACAGACACCACAGTGCCAATGACAATCGAGGCTACGCCTCTGATCCCCCGTCGCCTCCTCGCTTCCAGGGATATGTGCCAAGCCAGTCTGACAAACCTCCAGAATACTCCGCCTCAGCAGCCGACAGCCTGGCTCGACCCACTTCACTGAACACCCAACCAGGTCAGATCATCTTTTGCAGCTCCATTGACCAGATGAAGGAGAACATGTACCGCAGTATGGTGCCAACACTGGTCATACCAGCACACTACATGCGTCTGCCGTCTGAGTTTTCCGGAAAAGATGGGAAAGATCAGAAAGAACAGGATAAAGATGGCGGACAGATGGGAGGAGGTCAGCAGCATCATCACCACCACACACAGAAGCAAGGCCAGCAACAACTGCAGCAGCAGCAAGGTGGTTCGCAAGGGGATGACTCTGAGGAACCAAGCTGGGCTTCAGACTCCTCTGGTGGACCTGTGACAATCCCTGTGCTCTTCAACGATTCCACCATGGCTCAGATGAATGGAGAGCTGCAGGCGTTGACAGAGAAGAAGCTCCTGGAGCTGGGTGTCAAACAACATCCTCGAGCATGGTTCATCTCCCTTGACGGTAGAGCTAATGCTCACGTGCGCCACTCCTACATAGATGTTGGAAACGACCTCAGTGGTGGTGGTGGAGGTATTGGATTTGGAAGTGGTTCTAGCAGCACTCCGCGAGACATTAATCTCGAGTCTGCTCTGGATGTCCACGGACGGAAGTCAGGAATGAACCAGAAGGGAAAAGATGAGCGGTGGGGAGG